CTTGGATTGGAGGTGTGTGTATGTGTGCATGTGTGTTTGTGTATGTAGTGCAGGGATGAGCTATTGGGTTTATTCTCTGAGCTTAGTTGTTTTCCTGCAGATATTTTACTACTAAGCTAGGTTATATCATCAGTGAATGGGGAAAATTCAGTTAATTATAATAGTTTGTCCTGGCAGTCTGGATGAGGATGTGGCTTCTTCCTCCATGGTTCTTGATTAGGGACAGTGGTGGGATTCAGCCAGTTCGCACCAGTTCAGCAGAACCGGTAGCTAATTTTTTGTTGCCCAGGCCCAGAATGGACTTCCGGAAGCGGCATCCACACAGAGAACCAGTTGTTCACATATTTGAATCCCATCACTGGCAGTGTTCCTCAACCTTGACAATTTTAAGGCATGTGGACTTCAACTCCCAGAATTCCACAGCCAGCAATGCTGGCTGTGGAATTCTGGGAGTTGAAGTCCACATGCCTTAAAATTGTCAAGGTTGAGAAACACTGGATTAGGGTATTATTTCTTCCCTATTTATCTGGTGCTGTTTCTTCCTCATTAGAGTGCGTATTGCTAGGGAAGTTATGCTTTGGGCTGTTTCTTTCTTTCCTTGACTTTTAATTATATATTTTAAATGATATATATTTTTGTGTAGCAAGGCACTTTCTAATGAAATTGTATGGATATCTGTTACGTTGGAAGATGTTGTATATATAGGTGGTCCATGTTCTCTTTTCCTCCATACAACCTACCATATTGCAACAATGAAAAGGCGAACACTTCCACATATTAAAAAAAAAAAACCTTCTCTGAGAGAGCCAGCCAGCAGACTTATTACAACCTTTTGATATCATCGTGGCACACACACAAACCATCAAAATCCCTCCAAAGCATCTTAAGCCAGGGCTTTTCAACCAGTGGTACGGGTACCACCTGTGGTACATTGGCACCTGGCAGGTGGTACGCGACCATCCTAGAAAAGTGGTAGTGGGGGAGGGGAATGAGCTGAACCAGTGGCAGCACCGCACAAGCCTGAGTGAGAAATGGTTGGAGGGCTGTCAGGGCTCAACGGAAGTGCCAGGATCAGTGCCTCTTTCCAGCTGATCGGCGCTTCTTCGGGGCTGTCAGGACTCAGTGGAAGCGCCAGGATCAGCGCCAAGCTCCAGCTGGAGCTCGGCGCTGATCCTGGTGCTTCTGCTGAGCCCTGAAGAAGCACCAATCAGCTGGAAAGCAGCACTGATCCTGGTGCTTCTGTTGAGCCCAGAAGAAGCGACGATCAGCTGGAATGTTGCAGCATCTCCAGGGTCTTGTGATTTACATTCAAATGCTTGGCAACTGATTCATATTTATGATGGTCACAGTGTCCCAGGGTCATGTGAAGTGACCAAAACCTGCTGCAACCACCCAGTAGACAGGGGGAATAAAAACCAAACACCCCCTCACCCCACCCCCACTGCCAATCCTCAACAGAAATGCTCACAACAATGAAAACCTCGGACAGGAGGAAGAGCGCTGCTGGGCGCTGTCTTGCTCGGCTGTGGCTTGGGGGGCACTTTTTTCAGTGCCATTGTAACTTCGAACAGTCACTAAGCGAACTGTTGTAAGTCGAGGACTACTTGTACTTTATCACTTTTTTCCTTTTTTTTTGGTCATCAAGTTTTTGACACCTTGCTAGGCGACTGGTGGTACTCGGATGTTGCCATATCCTAAAAGTGGTACAATGGGTGAAAAGGTTGAAAAGCCCTGTCTTAAGCAACTCAGAGCTCAGCAACCAAAGAAGAAAAAAACAGGAGTAATCTACAACATACAGCGTAAGAACTGTAACAGCCAATATGTAGGATAGACAAATTGAAGATTGGCAGAACACATCCACACTGACAGATAGGAGACATAATGAAAATTACTTAGTCTCTCGACATAAAGAGAAGTTCAACCACAATTTGAATTGAATTGAATTAATATTTTAGTTCAAGCTAAATCCAAAAATGCTAGGGAGTTGCTGAAAGCTTGGCATTCTGACAAATCGGTCATCAGCAGATAGATAAATCCCAACTACATACCATTTAAAAGATATAACTAAAAGAATAAGCAAACTATATTGCCCCGTGCACTGATGATAATACCTAGCCTAATAACAAAATGTCTGCAGGAACACAATTACCTATTAATATAGCTTTTCCCAGCCTGATGGGCTCCAGATGTATTGGGATGATAACTTCCTGAATTCTAGCAACATGACCTATGCAGTCCTTGGTGCTATTGAGAGGGTTCAATGCAATGTTTTCTTTAAAAAAAGTTGACAAATTAATTCATTTACCAAATGGATTCTTAACAGCTGTCACATGCCTCTTTGGTTTTAGTTGGAAAGAACCTTTGACATCTCTTTCTCTGTTTTTAGAAGGAATTTCCCTCTCCAAATGCCAGGTCCCCTTGGACATTCTGCTTTCTTAACAGCCTTCCCTGGATCTCATTGGCAAATGGATGGCATTCCTTGGTTTAAACAGTAGGCATTAAGTTTCATGATAGTTGTGGAAGCCTCTTTCTTAATGGCAGGTTTCTTCAGTCAGCCAAACCAAGTTTTGGCAAGCAACAAGGTTAATGCATGCTAGTAAATGTAACAGAGATTGGCAGCTATAAACACACAGGTTCCCTGTGGTTGCTTTGGAAAATAAAAATTACAGCATGGAGAGTAATGTTTGCAAGTAAATCAGCCTGCTTCCCTCTCCCACCGAGAATTATTGGACAAATTTATTTTTGGATGGGCAGGCAAGGGATACAGCCTATAAGAGCATATTGCTTGGCTTTATCAAGGGTTCATATTTTTTAAGGCAGACTTTCCCAGCATGGTGCCCACCAGGTACCTTAACTGTAACTCCAGACTTGTATTGCTTCTGAAGGAAATTGGCTAAAGAAAGTCTGCCTTAAAGGAAAGGGTGAGAATATATCTCAGAACTAGAATCGAGATGGATTTTTTAAAATATCTACTTCATGATTCCCTCTGTGGCAGGTAAATGCTCTGAATGTTTGGTCTGGAAAGGCTTTGGCTCATAAGAGTGTTACCAGCCTGGAAGGAAGGAGAAGAGCGCATGTTGGTGTACAGAAAGTCCCTGATTCAGTCCTTTGGCATGAAATACTAGTAAGCTGGTCTAACGCGGTAGATGGCAGCTTCCCTAGTAGGGAAGGATTCAGTGGTTCCAGCTGACCAACCAGGCAGTTGATCCTAGACATCCTGTGATCTTCTAAAGATGTAGTGCTATGAGATTTTTGAGTATCTGACAGCATGGAGGGCACAAGGTTGCCTTCTTTTCTGTGGTTAATAAAAGCTGGTGCTAGTGCAACAAAAGTTTGGGGTATACAGGTAATCCTTGACCTACGACCACAATTGAGGCCAAAATTTATGTTGTTAAGTGAGACATTTGTTAAGTGAGTTTTGCCCCATTTTAGGACCTTTCTTGCCATAGTTGTTAAGCGAATCATTGCAGTTGACAAGTTAGTAACACAGTTGTTAAGTGAATCTGGCTTCCCCCATTGACTTTGCTTGTCAGAAGGTTGCAAAAGTTGATTATACAACCCCAGGACCCTGCAACCATCATAATTATGAACCAGTTACCAAGCGTCCAAATTTTGGGCATGTGACCATGAGATTGCTGCAACGGTCGTAAGTGTAAAGAACGGTCATAAGTCACTTTTTGCAGTGCTGTTGCAACTTTGAACTGTCACTAAATGAATTCTTGTAAGTTGAGGATTACCTCTACTTGTTACTTTTAGCAATCAAAGTGCCAACTAGTCATTGGTCTTCCTGTGTGATGGATGGATGGATGGATGGAGCTCAGCTGTCCCTTCAGTCTTCCACCTGATTTCATTTTCTGTTTTCTTTTCCAATAGACACTATTCTCTGACAACAAAACATAGACAGTCATGATTAAGCTCCACACCAGTGCTCATTCTGCCTCCTTGAGGTCTTCTATTTTTTAAGATTTGCACTTCTGTGTGCTAGGCTTCCCTCAGATTGCTCTCATCCCCTTTTTAATACCCCTGTTCTTAGAAGGGATTTAAGATTATTTTACAAAATTTCTAATCCAAGTTTTCTGAGCTCAAAGAGGCAAAAATGATCACTGTGAATTTTCATTTACAGTACCAGGACAATTTTACTCATTTAATCCTTTAGCAAATCCTGATCAATGTGCTCCATGCCTATTTAGGCTGCATTTGGATTTAAATTAAAGCTCTTTGACTCGGAATCTTAGTCCTGACACATACACAGAGCATCAGGTGGAGAAAGTGTTTGGGGTGGGGGAGATAAGCCCACTAAGAAGGGTCAGTTACAAAGCCAGCAGCAATTACAGAGAAGAAAGAAATGGGGACAAGGAAAAATTGTCACAGTTTTGAACAAAAATATAGCACAAAAAAAGCCAGGAATGTATCTTTTTGTGGTTGCAGCTTTCAAATCAATTTGTTAAATGGTTGTAGATAATACAGTACATTATTAATAAAATGACATTACCAGGGAAAGCAGATAATGACCCCTTTTGTCTTTTCAATGAGGGGTTGGCGCTTATTTTAAACCAAACTAAAACAAATGAATGAAGCCTATTGAAAACGATTATTTCTTTTCATTTAACACCACTATAAAATTATTATATGCCACAGCTTCCAGTTGATAACATTTTATTAGTATGTCCAAAAAGTGGGATCAGCTTATAAATAGAACTTCTTCAGTCTATGGAGTGACATTTAGTCATTTGGAGTAAGGTACTTTGTATTTTATAGTTATTTTATATAAGCAGCAAGCAAATAAGAAGAGACTGGACAGCCATTTGTCTGAAATGGTGTACGGTTCCTGCTTGAGCAGGAGGTTGGACTCGATGACCTCCAAGGTCCCTTCCAACTTTATTATTATTATTATTATTATTATTATTATTATTATTATTATTATTATTATTATTATTATTATTATTATTATTATTATTAAATGAATTTTCTAACATTATTCTTTCACTTCCTTATTTCAGGATCAAGAAGAAAATAAAGGTGCCACAAGTTGGCCTGAATTTTACATTGATCAGCTTAACTCCATGGCTGCTGTAAGTGGAATTATCTATTGTCTTATCTAAAAGGAAAAAATGTAAGAATTAAGAGCACGGCTCTGGGTAGTAAAGACATTTTTTAATCTTAATTTTAACGAATTGATAAATATTATGCATCATTTTATAATATTTATTATTCATATTATTCATATTTTGGGGGGAGAGATCATGAACCATGCACGGCACTGAACCATTGCTTAGTGGCCTTTTGACCTTCAGCTGCCATAAACGTAATTTCAAGGTTGCATAGCTATTCAGAAGGGCTAGAAATATGTTTATTTTAAAAGTGTGCATTATGATTCTTCAAAAGCAAAAATGCCCATAGTATGCTTTTGTTGAACCACTGATGTGTGACTCATTAAGTTCATTCATTAACTTGTGTACACCAACTCTGCTGCGATATTTTTGCTGCATTTTGTGTAAAGTAACCCTTTGGTGTCTTCACAGGTCTTCTGTCATATATTGTGCTATTGAGAAAATCAGTCTGCACATATAAGGCCTTTCCTGTACTGAGTGGTGCAGGGGAGGTATTAGCTTTGGCTTGTGATAATTATCATTAGAAGCCAAAGGTGTTTAAACAAAAAAAGATAAAGGTTGTGGTGAAAAGTTCAAGATCCGCTCACCCTCCATTTGTCTGAGAAGCAAAAGACCAGTTATGTTTGTAAATGGCAGGGAGAACTGGGGAGTGTTTGTTTCTGCAGACATTTCTATTGAATTTAGTAAGAGTTCCTTGATTAAAGAGACTCACATTAACTTTAAGGGAGCTAATTTACGGACTGTTGAATGTTACCTAGTTATGCAACAGAAGTGAGTGCTTAATAAAGCACCTGGAATTTTTATAGCGGGCTGCAGAGGCTTTCTTTCTGAATGCAGTACAATCTATTCAGCAGTTGTGAATTTCATATTGTGGTTATGTTGAGGATATGTGTGTGGGTATTTCTCCATGGTAAAGTCAAGCATTTTGGAGATAATTGGAAATTTATGTTTCTCAGAGATGAGTGATATTCAGCTAGAATAATAAACACCTTGCAAATATTCACTAAATATTGCACTATTGCTCTCTAAAGTTGTAATTAAAGAAAATCTCCCCCTGTTGAATTTTACCAATATGTTGCTGGCATAAAAGAATGCTATCATTGGTTAAATAGGAGCAGGGTGGCTTGAGCAGTTAGAATGCTGGGTTGAAGGTTAGCAAGCCCGTTTTTCGAGACCTGGGAGCTGCCATCTTTCGCCCCAAGTCATGCCAGGGATATGAAAGGAGCCTCCAAGGGCATCCCAGGACAATGGTGATGTCACTGGCTAATCCCTTCAACCCGGAAGCACCTGTGCAGCATTGGTTAAATACTTCTGTGGGACAGCTTCCTCTTTTAATGTCTCAGCGACAGTTGTCCAATTGCCTCACCAACTCAAAAACGGCTTTAATGGAAATAAGAATATAGTATGTGTATTTTTAAATTTTATTACCATCAAATGGTTGAATCATCATTAAGAAGAGACTGCACAGCCATTTGTCTGAAATGGTATAGGGTTTACTGCCTAAGCAGGGGGTTGGACTAGACCTCCATCCAACATTATTATTATTATTAATTATTATTAATAATTAAGTCCTTTCCAACATTATTATTATTATTAATTATTATTAATTATCTCTCTTGCTGGCATTTTAAAGCTAAATCCAGTCCACTACAGTAATGGATCAGGAAGAATAAACTGGAAAGCTGTGCTTGCTATTCATTTAGGCAAAACCAGACCCACAACTCTAGAATGGGAAAATATTGCTCAAAGTATGAAGAAAGTATCAATGAAGGAGAATATTTGTAGCTCAGGGTTGAAATGAGGGGTCCTTGGTGCTCTCTGAGTTTGCTCATTTTCTTGCATGAAACATCTGCAAGAAATAATAAAGTCTCTGACTCATCCCCAACATCATCTTTTGGGAACTTTTTTGGAGGGATAAAAGATTAGTTGTTCAGAAGAGAAAATCTACCATTAAAATATCAACTATAAAATGATGATCAGAGTTAAATATCATATAGCTTATCCAATGGGGGACTGTACTTATCCTGATGCAAAATCCTACAGAAGGGGCTCCTGATAGCCATTCTGAAAATCAGAAGAACCATTTTTAATTTATCTCATTTTACAAAAATAAAGAAAATGGGATATGAAAAAGAAAAACAGAAACAAAAAATGGAATATTAAAATGTTTCTCCTGAACTTGTGGTATTTGTAGAGAGAGATTTCATGCTCTTTGTCAGGTCCTGACTGTTTCTTCCTGCATAGTCCAGGTCCATAAACCTTTATGAGGAAGCTACTGACAGGAATTTTGTGAAGAGGTCTTTTTGGCTGGCTGGCTTGGGCGCTGTATTGTGGTGGTAAATGGATTCATTATGGCCATTTTGCTATTGCATTGTCGCTGGCTGACAAACACTTTCAGCACAGTTTATTTGTGGAAAGTACAGTAGGTAAATAAACTATATTGAACAGGTGGCTGCTACTAATTTTCTCAACTTGTGCAGAGAAAGTCATTGATTGCTTTGGAAAAAGAAGATGAAGAGGAACGAAACAAAACTATAGAGAGTTTGAAAACAGCACTAAGGACCAAACCTATGAGGTAATTTGATTTTTGGTTGCTGTTGCTGCTAGGTAACTAAATTCTTTGCCTTTTCTTCTTTAGTATAAAGATTCTTAAAATAATCTCTTCATTGTAATACCAATCAGCTCTAATTTGCTGAGATGTGTTAACTTAATTCCTCTTATCACCTAGATGTTCAGAATCACAAGTCCCATCTTTCCAGTAAAAATTCCCCCACCTCTTTTTTCTGAAGTTTAGGGATGTTGCAATCAGTCACATTACAGAGCCATCATTTTCTTTATTCTGCATTATAGAAACCATCCTGCTTGGCTAGTGAATGCTATCCTGCCAATGATAGGAATGTCTTGAATTTAGACCATACTATTAAAATTCAAATTTTTACAGCATTAAAAATTATTTTAAAGAATGGAGATTCAAATTCTATCCACAGACAAGTGGAAAAAGTTCATAGTAAATGTCTTCCATCAGAGAAGACCCTGCAATGTTTATACTGCCACCAAATAATCATCTTTCCTATACATACCTTCTGCATCTCTTAGCAGTGATCAGGCTGTTTAGACTTCGAATGCTCAGTTTTGGGAAGTATGAAATGTTCAGAGATTTTTCTGTTCTGAACTCAAAAATGGTCAAGCCATCTTGAAACTGGTTTTTTTTCTTTTTCTAACAATATCCCCAGAAGCTACCAGAATATAGGAATAGCAGTTAGACTTGTATACTGCTTCATAATGTTTTACAGCCCTCTCTAAGCGGTTTACAGAGTCAGCATATTGCCCCCAACAATCTGGGTCCTCATTCCACCTCAGAAGGATGGAAGGCTGAGTCAACCTTGAGCCAGTCAGGATCGAACCCTTGGCAGTCAGCAGAATTAGCCTGCAATACTGCATTCTAACCACTGCACCACCACAGCTATCTTATCTATTTATGGGTAAGGAAATCTATTATCCCTACACTGAGAGATTATTTTAATATATGTTTTAGGAATCCTTTGAAGTTAAACTAAATTACGACTTTAAGAAAGTGATCTTCCTCTTTTGTGTTCCTTCATTTTTTTCCCTGATAGGTTTGTAACTCGATTCATTGATCTGGATGGCTTGTCATGCATTCTGAACTTCCTGAAAAGCATGGACTATGAGACTGCGGAATCTCGAATCCATACCTCTCTCATTGGGTGCATCAAAGCCCTGATGAACAACTCTCTTGGGAGAGCCCATGTCCTGGCCCACTCAGAGAGTATTAATGTAATTGCTCAGAGTCTGAGCACTGAAAACATTAAGACTAAGGTGGCGGTGCTGGAAATCATGGGCGCTGTGTGCCTGGTTCCTGGCGGTCACAAAAAGGTACTAGAGGCCATGGTGCACTACCAAAAATATGCCAGTGAACGGACTCGCTTTCAGGTATGGAGCATCAAATTACTCCTTAAATGGAATGATTATTTTTAATATTCCACAGCATAAGCATTTATTTTTGTCCCAAACAAAGATGCAGTAGCCCTTGAGGTCATTTAATCTCAAACATAACCACCACCATGTTGAGTAAAAACACAATGACATGCTCACCCAACCTGCAGACTTCCTCTGTGTATTACAAAAATTGTCTAACACAATTGGGTCCTGTGATGGCTTTTTAAGAAGGGGTAGAACACTCTCTCCTGAAGCATTGACAGGGCTACCCTTCTCTCAAGGATGGATTCACCATAAATGGACCCAATCACAGATTATCTTCTGGGAGGACTTAGCCATATAGGAGTGACATCAGTCTACCCCACAGCCCGAGGAATCTTCTCTGTAAAAATTATTCTCCTTTTCTCCTTGCTTTCCTGTGCACAAACTGAGGCAAATCTAAGTTACATAAATCAATTAAACTTTACTTCTTTAAGTCTCTTTATTCTTGGCAGTGGTCAACACCAGAGTTTTATGCCCTGAATCTAACTGATACCAAATACATTACTATATTTTATTGATAAGTGCGTCATTTGCTTAGTTTTACACAGCCGTATGAAGCTACCTTAAGTTACCCATAGATCTACTATGTCGATATGTTTACGAGAATGCATGAAAAAGAGTAAAAAGGAGGAAAATATACTTTTTATCTTTAATAAAAAAAATTAAAATGAGACTAATTTTGATAGAATTTTGTTCCTCTCCTAGTGTTTAGTACCACTATGAAATTGATAAAAAAAATTCTAATTTGCAGACATTAATAAATGATTTGGATAGAAGTACAGGACGATACCGAGATGAAGTAAGCCTCAAGACAGCGATTATGTCTTTTATCAATGCTGTTCTAAGCCAAGGAGCTGGAGTGGTAAGTTCAGAAGCTACAGACAGGGGCTTTATAACATTGATTGGGTCACTGTCGTGTTTGAACAAGGATTCTAGAAACAATAGCTAAAATCATCTCAATGGGATATCTTGCACCCTACTGGCAGCCATAACAGAGTAAGTTTCGATAGGGCAGATATGGGATACAGGTACTCCTGTTTTCATAGGATAACAGAATGATTTCTCATTAATTAAGACCTTAGGTTAACTTGATAATTTATCTGAGAAAGGTAGAGGAACTGTGAAAAGTACACAAAAGAATTGTCTTGCACATTCCAGGTCCGAGAAGATAATCAGAATATTTTGGCAGAGGTCTTTTCCCCATCCCAGTTTCTTGAAAGACCAGAACAGAAAGATGCCCAGGAAACACAAGTTATCCTTTAAGAAAAGGGTGCTTCCCAGGCATCTTTCTATCCTGCTTGAAACACAGACACTCACTTTCTCACTCTGGCCCAAATAGAAATAATATCCTATGTGCAGTGGTGGGATTCAGCCGGTTTGCACCACTTCAGCAGAACCGGTAGCTAATTTTTTGTTGGCCAGGCCCAGAATGGACTTCCGGAAGTGGCATCCACACAGAGAACCAGTTGTTCACATATTTGAATCCCACCACTGCCTATGTGCATAATTTGCCTACCACTGAATTATGATTCTTCTAGTGTCTGAAGAACTTGGTGCCTCCAGCTATGATGAATAACTCTCACAGCTTCTTTTAAACTATTGGTGATGTTGGAGACCAGTAGGAATTAATGCCCACAATATTTAAAGAGTAGATTTGTATTTCCCTAATGTATACCCACATTTTTCCTCTTTTTCTATTATTGTCACCATCTGACTGTTTAGGAAAGAGATATAAGCTGTATCTCTGTTCCTCTTGCTTGCTTTGTTTTTGACAAGTCAGTGGAACCAATAAAAAGTAAATCTGATGGAAGAGACTTAAAATGATGAACCCCATTTTCTTGCCTGCCTGAATCCTAATGTCTACGCGACTTCATCCGTCTTGTCTTATCCCAGTGTTACTGTAACTCCGTAATTTCCAGAAAGTTTCCTAATCTACATGTTTTGGGACTGCTATTCATTTGTTGCATGGGTCCCCATCTTTCTTTTTTACTTCTTTGATAAAACAAGGGCAGTACTATGGCTCAGTGGTCAAGACGCTGGGCTTATCAGCTGGAAAGCTTATAGAAAGCCAAGAGCCCATGTTCAAAACCCAAGCACCGTGTGTCAGGAGGTTACTGCATTCTGCATTTTCATGCTGGCCGCATGATGACAGAAGCCTCTCTCAGACAACACAGGCTCCCTCTGCTGAGAATCCAAGATGAGTACTGCGCCCTTGAGTCAGTCACAACTGGACAGGGGAAACCTTTAAACCTTTAATGGTGAAACAACTGTACTATTATTCTAACAGGAACCATTTTGAAAGATTGCCATCTTCTTTTCCTCTTTCCCAGGAAAGTCTGGACTTCAGACTCCACCTGAGATATGAATTCCTCATGCTTGGAATTCAGCCTGTAATTGACAAATTAAGAGAACATGAAAATTCCACATTAGATAGGTAAGTATGTGATTTGTAATGTCGTTTAAAATATCTTATCTGCCTTCTTATTCATTCTCCCTGGATTTTATGTTAAAGGAAATGGATAGTATATCTTTACCCATCCTAATGTAAAGAAATTGCTCTAAAATTTTGAATTTTTTCCTAAGCTAGGTGGAATTCTATCATATTAAGCCAGGATTTAATGCACAGGAGCCTCTGCAAGCTCCAGTAAACCTTAGACCTGAGTGCTCTCCCCCTTCTCTAACTGCTTCACAAATAGGAAAATTCCTGCCAGGCTTACTTTTATCTTTCTTCATCCCAGACTTATTATGGTTTGTTAAGTAACTAGCAAAACTACTCAGGTTTGGTTATTGGCTTGTTTTCCAATTGGCTGGACTTTGTTTAACTCATGATGCCTAATTCATGCAAGTGATAAACCAAATATCAGGAAGATGAAATTGATTTTTTTTTTCGTCTGGCTTCATCAGAAGAGAAGAGAACGAAGCATGCATGGTTGCACAGGTTTTGCTCATAATGCTCAATTCTGACTTAATGTTAAATTCAAGTCTAGTGAAAATTATCATGAACGCTTTTAACTGATTGCAGAGAATATCAAGAACAACTATTTACAGCGAACAACTAAATCTCAGTTCCATTTCAGAATTCATTGCTGCCTTAGCACTTAAAATGACCCATTCTCTTGGGGAGAATCAATCATGTTGATATTTTATTTCCCCCCCCCCTTTTATTTAAAGCTAATGGTTCCTCCTTCAACCATAACATCTACCTGTCTTGTGCTTTCTTATCATTTTGAGTACAAAATAGGCGTCACATTTTTAAACAATCAAAATAAATCCTGAACACTCTTATTCAAAACCTAAGAGGAATAAATAAAGCTCTGGCCAGTGTTAGGTGGCTCCAACAACTTGCATCATTGCCCCATCTTTTAAAAAATAAGTTCAGTCCCAGACCATCAACAGTTTATCCACCCCTGATATAAATCCCAACCATGCAGCCAGCCACTCTGCTTGGCACCCATAGAAAATATTCTTATGGGGAGTTTCTACCCAATTGTCTGAGTCCCTCTGAAATATGAGTATAAGTAGTCCTTGACTTATGACCACATTGAGCCCCAAATTTCTGTTACTAAGTGAGAAAGTTGTTAAGTGAATTTTGTCCCATTTTATGACCTTTCTTGCCACAGTTTTTAAGTGAATCACTAAGTTAGTGACAAAGTTGTCAACTGAATCTGGTTTCCCCATTGACTTTGCTTGTCAGAAGGTCGCAAAAAGTGATCACATGACCCCAGGACACTGCAACTGTCATAAATATGAACCAGTTGCTAAAAGCGTCTTAATTTTTTTGATCACATGACCATGGGGATACTACAGTGTGACAAATGGCTGTAAATCACTTTTTTCAGTGTCGTCGTAACTTTGAACAGTCACTAAACGAACTGTTGCAAGCCGAGGAGTGCCTGTACAGCCCCTTTAGAACTAGCATGATAAGCAAAGAATGACTTATTGTGGAGAGTCAGCTGAATAGATGGAATTCTGAAGGTGGCTGGTTCTTGTGCTTACTTTCCTGCTTTTAAATCTGAGAAAGAATTGGGTCTCTCTAAAGTTGAGGACAAATACATTTTTATTACAGCTACAGGTAGTCCTCAATTTATGACCAGTCGCTTAGCGACCATTTATAATTACAAAGGACCTGCCCGAGGCTATTTATAACCTGGATTCGTAGTCCTGATGGCCGCTGCCCAGTGATTTATAATGGTTTTTGCTGGAAACTGCATTTATTTCCAGTTTCCGGCAACAATAGACCCATTGCAAACAATGGATTCACTTACCAACTGCAGCGTTTGTTTTACAACCACCACATTCACTTAATGACTGCCATTAAAAAGGTTATAAAATTGAGCATGGTCACATGGTGGCCTGTTTAACAACAAGCATAACTTGCAACCATAATTCTGGGTTCAGTTATAATTGTAAGTCAAGGACTAACTGTATAAACTCTTCTGAATGAAATGTTATTAAATGCCCTGCCTCTACTAAATGTAGTGGGATGTTCTTGCCAAACCTATTAGCAAAATTGCTTCAGTAAGGGATTGCCCTAAGTTGCCTCTTCTCCTCCCTCCAGGCATTTAGATTTTTTTGAAATGCTCCGAAATGAAGATGAGTTGGAGTTTGCCAAAAGATTTGAATTGGTATGTATATACTACTATTTTGCTACATTTGGATTGAGTAAGAAAAATATTCTGGCCAAGAAAGGATCATTGTTAAGAACTGAATCATATCTCAGCCATTTTACAATTATCCTTGAACACTTGCCCAAAATGATTAAGTTACATTTTAATTATAACTTTCAGGAGATTGCGTTTCTTCCTCCCCTATTCCATCTTTGCCCAACTTTCATATAAATGATTCACCCTGATCCTTCCTTTTTCATAGCTGTGGGCTATTTTTCAGTAAGTAGCAAGATTTTCACAAATTTTAAAGTATTATATGTTCTGCTACTGTACATCAGAGATAATCACTTTTTTGATCAGACTGACCTCTTGGATACGTGCAAAATCTTGTTAAGAACTGTCAAGTTCCTCTTTATATATTGCCATTTTGCCAATTTTATTCATTCATTTTTACATTTCTTAGTATACATTCACCTATATATAGCAAAGTCCAGCTTGACTAAGTTGATTGGAAGCAAAAAGAAATTAGAGGTAGCAACTTTGCCTGGAGAATGATTATGTGTGAAAATACTAATCTTAATCTCAATTGTTTTGCCCCATCGAAATAACCAAAGGTTCATATAGATACAAAAAGTGCAACCCAGATGTTTGAGCTCACAAGAAAGAGATTGACTCATACAGAAGCCTACCCGCATTTTATGTCTATACTTCACCACTGCCTCCAAATGCCTTGTGAGTACAAAAAGTAACTTTAGGATTTTATTGATATTCATAGTAGATATTTTGGAATTGAAGTACATGGTTTGAAATGCAGGCTTCCTCTGAACGGTTAGAAATGCTATAACTTTAATAAGTCCTATTATAGGGGTATATTATTATAGTCAATGTGTGATTATTGTACAGAAGCAATGAGAGTTGCAGTCTATGCATCTTACTAATTTTGAAGTACATATGGGTGAATGGATGGATGGATAAATGAAGAGAGAGAGAGAGAGAGAGAGATAAATAGAGTGAAAGAGAGAGGACATGTTAAAAGAGTGATAAATTGGTTGGTTGGCATGGGGGCAATTGCCTAAATAAACTAGGAATTAAATCTTTAAGGATAACTTTAGCTCAAACCAGATAGTACTTTCCAGTCTTCATTGCATTGCTGGAGAAGACCTGCGAAGGACAGATTGGATTTACATCATTTAAAAAAAGCAAATACCACCAAATGCTAAAAATGGAGGAAAAGATGTGTAAGTGCAAAGGAATTGCTGTATGAAAACTATTCTCAGTTACATCCAGTTCTTCAGGATTAGCTTGTACTTTCATAAAATCCCATGAAATTGGAAGAGGTCACTTAAACCAATAAGTCCACTTCTCTATGTAGAGCAGGGCTCCCAGTTAACATATCCTCCCTACATAGCCATCATGTTTCTTTTTTTAAAAAAAAGTAGTTCATGCAATTGCTGATCAAATTTTGTATGCTAATTATCTACATGGAAACCACCTTCTTTGAGCCATACATTTCCAAAGTGTGCTCATAAATGTCTTGACAAAACACTGCTTTCTAGAAAGTCATATCACATTCAGCTTAGAAACGTTTATTATACCATTTGCCTACATTTGTTGGTTACTCAACTACACAGATGTATGCAAGTATTTCCTCCACTGGAAAGGCATTCTGAAGGATAAGATTTTGACCTTCTGTCAGAAGCATTTGCTTAAGGGCTGCACCCTGACATGTTTCACATAGTTGATTCGGTATTACTTTCAAAAATTTGTTCCATATCAAATATGGAGAAGTATCTGTTGCAAATGTCAACCTTGTCCTTACCGACAATTATTTCTTCCTATCTGCTCTCCCTTTGAAAATGGCTGTATAATTCTATTCTTGCCAGGCATATCTGAGTACAGTAATCTCTTGGTTGCTATCTCCTAGCATTGAGCTTTATCCTTCTCTTTCTTACGGAAATTATTTGAATAATTTTGAACTGCACTATTAATATATGAGAATTATGATTATGTTTGTTAATAGTTGTTCTAGTGTCTTTTCTAACAACAATAATTTGTCACTATATTCAAAAAAATGCAAGAGTAGTGTACGGTTCATTTTGTAAAAGATTATCTAGGCATTTTCCAATTTCAGGGCATCAAATGTATATATGCTTTCCATCATATTCGCCAGTGCTGTTTTGCAAGGCTTATAATCAAATTTGCCTCTTGTAAAAGCATGCAAAAGTGACATTATATATATTCCACGCTTTATTTATGCAATATCCCAAACACCAATATTTATATTGATATAAATTAAGGCATGACTCATAAGTACAAAGGGGTAAATTTGTAGTTCACTTTTGCATGCTTTTATTCGTAATTCCACAGACGCATTATTCATCCATTTCTTGGAGGAGGGGGACTTGCAGATTATGAGTTAAATTGCATAATATGTTATTTTCTTTCAAAAATACTGCACATAGTTTTATAAATACACTTGGATACTGGGACACAGTATTCAAAAAATTTAAAATAAGATATTTGTGTTCCTGGGTATACAGTCGTCCAATAAGACCATGTCACATTTCTCAATTTTTTCTTCAAAGATTAATTTCTCAAGCTTTTTTATTTATAACAAAAAATCACATCATTTGCAACTGGCTATTTCTGTCAATATCCTTCAGTGTTTGATTACTGTGGGGGGCAGACTGTTACAGAACCAAAGTGACTATTTCATTAAGCCCAGTTTTAGTAGCATGCATAAAATATCCTTTTTATTAGGAAGAAAGAGCATCTCTTAGGTGGGGCTCTGATATATAATGATCAAGGTTAGGAAAAGCAGTTTTCTGCTGACACCCCTCTACCCCAACCTATAGCAACTATTTCACCACTAAAGCACCATTTCCTGTAAAAAGCATCTGGGAATGGAGATTTGTTTAAATTGACATATGCTTCCTTTTCCCACCCTTCACATTCATTCACAGTTTTTCTCTCCCTTTTAGATAAGAGAAACGGCAACACCGTCCAGTACTGGTTACTGCTGGATCGTATTATACAACAAATAGTTATTCAAAATGATAAAGGGCAGGACCCTGACTCAACACCCCTGGAGAACTTTAATATCAAAAATGTTGTCCGAATGTAAGGGCCTTCCTTTATTTCTGCAGTAAATGATTTTTTTTTAACCTTGCATGTCTTCTCTATTTCATATGAGTGGGTTGCTTGTTTATTTTGATTTTTGAATTAGTCCTAAACAAATCTACGCAATTTAGAAATAGTGACAGAACTTCTTAATATCTGGAATGTAAAAAAGGATTTCTATTTAATCAAGTTATCTATATTGCCAATAACTTCACCCCCAAAAGAAATATTTTGGTGTACATTCCGTAGCATTGTGGTACTCTGAGCAAAAGCTGGAGAATATTCTACCTAATAAATTGTATGAAAAAAGAACTTCTCTTTGAAAAAACTGTCAATATTTTATAAGCATTCATTAATGTTATTCAAAATAGCAATATGTAAACAAAATGACTTGCCACTGTAAACTGTTTTGTGGTAAGAAAACTGAACAAGTTTAAATACTAATTGAACAAGTAGAGATGCAATTTTCTAGGTTTTCCATAGATTTCATCTTGGCGTCTTGCCTTTGCTAATCATGTGGTGCTTATATTTATTAGAAATTAATTTCTTTTTTCCCCCTAGGCTGGTTAATGAAAATGAAGTGAAACAATGGAAAGAACAAGCAGAAAAAATGAGAAAAGGTAAATGATAAAAGTAGAGAGCCCCACCTTAAGAGGACTTTAGCCTGTTAGGACTGAGGAAAAAATTCTACTTGAGGTTTTGTAGATTCAGTGGCAGTTGATGACAGCAATATGAGCTCACTCAGATTAAGGCAACTTCTGGAATATCATGGTTGTTGTAAAGGGAAATGACATCATAGAAGCGAAAAGGTTACGGCCTGGATTCAATTTAAATGTGTGGGGAAAGAATACAGAGGTTAGGTGATTAATTTGAACTTTAAACACTATAAGAAAGTGGTACAAAATCTAAACCTGCAGTAGAAAAGAAAGAAGGGGAGAGCTTCTGACATGGGATTTTCCACACTTTATTAATTTATAAATTGGTACAGTTTGGCCTTTAACCAGATAATTTGCTATACAGTTATAAACTTACATTTTCTTTCCCAGAAACATCTTTTGTGAGAGTGGAAATGGAAGTAATCAATCTGGTTTGGTTTTCTGTTTTTTTTTTTAACAAAGAGGACTAAATGTTACAACAATAGTATAGTATTTCACTATAGACTTGTGTTTTTTGTGTTTTCCTATGTTTTTTGTTCTTTTCCGTGGAGGACAATAAAATCTGCATGTCTAATAGAGGAAAGGAAATACAGTGAGTATAGCAGATTTTAGATGCAGTGAACAAAATAGCCCTTCAAAATAGTGATCAGATATAGTGCAGCCAAAGTAGTCTGGATGGTAAACTTTACATAAATTAAAGTTACATACAACAACTTATGTAATTTGTTCCATTTTTAGAATTATGAAAATAACATAAACTTGGTCAGTTTGGACTAATTGATAGACATATAAATGTCTAATTGTTGCTGATTTGCTTCACTTAATGTTTATTTATAATTGAACAGCTACCTCCTGAGGCAACCCATTCTGCTGCTGAATAACTTTTGTTATTGGGACATTTTTTCCTAATATCCATGCAAAATCTACTTGTAATTTAATTTAAATTAATTTATTTGTAAATCCATTGATTCTTGCCCTATTGTATGTCCTTGAACAATTCTGTCAAGTTTTCTATCTGACAACCATGTGTGACTGAAGTAGTAAATATATAAATAAATAAATAAGACAGTTGTCCTCTATCTTTCTGCAACCTTCTCTTGTCCAGGCTAAACATGTGCAATGTTTTCAGCTATTTCTCCCAAGTTTTTCCTCCCAAGCCCCTTATCATCTTGGCTGCTGTCCTCTGGACTTATTTTTAAAATGCACAGAACTTGACACTATATTGTAGGTGCAGTCTGACCAGCTTAGAATTCAAAGGAATTTAAGGATGATTAACAAACTATTTTCCATAAGGAAATTTCTCTATGCATTTAATGGGATAGAAAGAAATGGACAATAAGTGCTTTTTTCAGTCATACATTAATCTTTTAAGAACAAAGGAAATTGCCTTTATATTGGGTCAGACTATTTCTGTATGGTTCTCTTGAATTTTTATCTGTTCCACACAGAGGATTTTCCAGCTCCTTGCTACTTAATTTTTTTTTATATGGAAAGTCTGGATTGAGTATGTGCAATTGCCTTCTAATAATATAATTATTCTCAGCTTCTCTCCAAGATTGTAATCAAAATAGGTTCCCTTGAAAACATGTTAAAGGGACTATTCTGCTTTGTGTAGTAGGTTTTGTTAATATATTTCCTATCCAAATTGGGATAATTTACTAAATAAGCTTTATTGAGCTTAGGTGATGGGGAAAGGGACATATTTCAGTATGGTTATTACCCCTGGTTTATTATTCCTTCAGTTGCCATGATTCGCAATGCAGGGGGAACATCTTCCATGATCATGTTCATGTCATGCCAATCAACAGTTCAGAAGCATTAATTGTAAATGTTTAAATATTTCCCTCCCTTTTTAAAAGAACACCATGAGCTACAGCAGAAATTGGAAAAGAAAGAGCGAGAGTGTGATGCCAAGACCCAGGAGAAGGAGGAGATGATGCAGACCTTGAATAAGATGAAGGAGAAGCTTGAAAAAGAACTCTCTGAGCATAAACAAGTGAAACAGCAAGTGGCAGACCTCACAGCACAGATCCATGAGCTTAGTAGGGTGAGGTCAAGCCCCAGACTCTCCTTGCAGTTTGGGGAAAATGTGCCATTCGTTTACATTACAACTATGTGCCCGTTAGAAGTAATGCTGTCAGTCAAAAGGTCCAGGCAAATGAGAAAAAGAATTGATTTGTTACTGGAAAGATTATTGAAACTGCCATATACAGTATTTTAGGGGTAAGAACCAGGAGTTCTTCATTTGCTCAGAGAGATGGGCTTTCCCATGGTGCATAAAAGCTTTTGTAACCAGAGCAGAAAAACAGTTTTACTGTCAAGAGCTGAATTCCTGGCAGAGAAGAAACAAAGTTCTACCAGCTAAGCTTCTTTTCACCACGGTCTAACAAATCTGATCTACTCTTTCCACATTATGTATCCCAGACCTGCTTTTTAAATGAGGTGTATCGACTAGTTAAGGAGGTTCAGCAGCCCTCTGGAAATGTGAACCATTAATACAGAATAGTATCCTCTACAGCAGTGATGGCGAACCTTTTAGCGAGTGAGTGCCCAAAAACTGGCCCCAGCTCCACCCCATGCCCTGCCCCCACCCCACCTGCCCGCAGGGCCACTCACCACCTCCAGGGCCCGCCGCAGATCACCCAGGCAGCCCAGCCACACCATGGCGGCCACGCCCTCTGCCCGCGCCCCACAGCATCAACTGTGTGCGATGGGGCGTGAGGGCAGAGTCTTGTCTACGCTGCCTGGCTGCCATGTCCTTGGCTGTGCTGCTCAGCGTGGGCCACGCTCGGGGGTGACTCTCCTCCAGGGGGGCTGCTGGTGAGGGGGTCATGGGGGAGGCAAGGCTGGGGCAACGGCACGTGTGCCCACAGAGAGGGCTCCGAGTGCCGCCTCTGGCACCCATGCCATAGGTTCGCCACCACTGCTCTACAGTATTTTTACTTACTATACTTGTTTATTTACTCTCCACTTAATCTCCAAACAGCCTTCTCACTACACACTTTGTAGAACATTTTCTGCAAAAAAGAGAGGGCTGGGACAGCAATAAGCACCAGGAGGAGGAGCAAGAGAGACAGCCCCTCTCTGATTGACTAAAGCAGGGGGGGGACTCAAATTTTTTCAGGCCTTGTAAGCCATTATTTTTTAAAAAATTCCCAGAAGCTCTAATCAAGAGGCAGAGCTTTTGCAAACCATTGGTATGCCCTGTCTTTTCTACTGGACATTGGAAAAATTGCTATGACATCTCTGGCCAGTATTCAAATGAAATTTCTCCCCCCCACTTCAATCTCATGGAACCCATCAGGTTCTTGGAGAACCCCAGGAATTTATGGAACAGAGTTTGAAAAACTCTGGGCTGGGAACATTCCTTTTTGCTTTCCTTTTACTGTAATCTAAGTATGGATTGGAGAGACTGTACTATTTCCATATTATTGTTTGTTTGCAAGTGTATAGATGGCTGAGTGATATATTGTAAACAATATTATCATAATGGGTATCCTAACTGCCATCTCACTTGGCTTGATCTTGACTTGCAATTCCTACAGCAATTATATTTTCTCCTTTTATTTCAGAGAGCTATATGTGCTCCAGTCCCTGGAGGACCCCCTCTGCCACCCGGTGCCCCTGGGGGGCCCTTACCTACAGGCTCTCTAGGATCTCTCCTCCCAGTTCCTCCTCCACCTCCTCCTCCTGGAGCAATCCTGCCACCTCCTCCCCCTCCCCCTCCTCCCCCTGGGGGCCCACCCCCTCCCCCAGGACCCCCGCCAATTGGAGGCCTGACTCCAGCTCCAGGAGCTCCTTTGGGATCAGCACTGAAGAGGAAAAACATCCCTCAGCCCACACATGCCCTCAAGTCCTTCAACTGGTCCAAGTTGCCTGAGGTAAGGAATCTGTTCCCCTCTGCTCCTTAGGATTGATGAATAGGATTGATTGTAGAACAGGTATACTCAGTGTTCAGGTCAGGAACACCACTCACCTTCAAATGGCTCACATAGCAACATAGGATATGGCCACATTAAAAAGAAGATTTAAATATGAGTGGGCAGGACGAAAAATTTCAAAAGAGATAAACACTGATGTTACTATATTTATTAAACAGTTGCCTGTATTTGCAATGGAGGTACTTTTAATATCCCAAACGTCCTTTTCCAAAAGGCAACTGGACTTTCTTTTTTGGACATAAAAGCAGCTCGAGAGCTTTTTCTTGGATGAGAAGCGAAACGTTTTCAAGGGGGAAAAAAGAAAGCCCAGTTGCCTTTAGGAAAAGTACCTTTCGGACAACCATGACCTGGATAATTAAGAATCTCCATAGACAAACACTTTTATTAATGGTTATTCCCTCATACCAAAATTGATTCCCAGGTTTAAAAAAATTAAGAAAAGTACAAATGAAAAAATTATTGGACCTGGGCTTCCATTATCTTGGCATTGGACTTCCATTACCAATTATCAGTTGGCATAATGAATTCCCATCTGACTATGCTGGGAATAAACATGAGACAACATCGCCTTTATTTGTTGTTGTTCAGTTGCTAAGTCGCGTCTGACTCTTTGCAGTCCCGTGGACCATAGCACGCAAGCCCCCCCCATCCTCCACTTTAATTGCCTTCATATCCTTGTATAAATTTTTCCAATGATTCTTCCTGTTCAAAACTTAATGCTAGATGAGGCAGACTTTCTTCAGCTGATCCAACTAAGCTGCTTTTATGTCCTTAATTATCCTGGAAGTGCTGCATTTTTCTGCAATTTAGAATGATTTCATTTGTCTGGCATGTACATCAAAGTAATTTCACATTTATTTTTAATAAGTACAAGAAATTTGTGTACGGACCCTATTTATAGCATATGGTTTCATTTGAATGTAATGAAATGTAGTGCAATGTATTGAAAAAGTCATAGTGATGCTTCTTCCATCTTCTTCCTACCATCCTAGAACAAGTTGGAAGGTACTGTGTGGACTGGCATTGATGATGCCAAAGTATTTAAGGTGCTAGATCTTGAAGACCTTGAAAGAACATTCTCTGCTTACCAAAGGCAACAGGTAATGTGTGTGTTTCCAAGATCTGCAGGTAATCCAACACACTCTCTATTAGAAAGTAATTGGAATGCATTATTTTATTATTAATGTTTTTTTCATAAGTAACATGGTTGAATGCACCTCAGCATGTTTCCACGTTGGTGGTTTCATTGGTGGTTCATAATCTGATGATGTAGGTGTTTCCAGTTGTATGTGACAGTTGGTTCTAACCTTAATATTCAAGCATGTTTGAGTAATGTTGACAGAATTGCTGGGAATGGCTAAAAACTAACACTGATATGCATGTGAATTTTTTTCCCATTATCAAAAGTCTTTGTTCTGCAGGGATAATTTTATTTCCCCAATTAAGAAATCATTGTTTTCAGCCACTTCTAATACAGTGACCTTAAAATGTTGATAATACGTACGAAAGAGAAGAGAGTAATAACTATATTGCCCTTTTAAAAAAAGAAAGAATTGGTGATACTTCTTTTTTGTAGTTCGAATTCTTCAACGTGATGGCTGAGCAAATTACAGTTTGAAGAAAGTATTATTGATTCCAATCACCCTGCTTCACCCATGTCCCAGTTTTCCTCTTCTAATCCAATCCTCTTCCTTGCCTTGCACATTTTATTTTCTTTCATGAATTTGGCAGGTTTACAAATCTCTTCATATATTCAGACAAAGAAACTGCAACTCTCATTTTACATGTATGAATATGTTTTGAATTTCATTGTAGGCAGTCAACAAATTTTTCCTTTTACTTTCACGTAGTCAGACGAAAGCATGATTCTTGTTATTATAAGGAGATTAATTCTTACAGTCCAGAAAATTATTAACATTCTCCTTAACAGGACATTCAGGGCTCATGCCTGCTTTACATAGCATGTAGGCTTCTGTGCACAATAAGGTAACATGATAAGCAATGTGTTTATGGGGGCCTGTCCTCAGGATTTATTTCCTGCATAGGTAGTCCTTGACTTAGAACTCCAATTGAACCCAGAATTTTGTTATAAGTTGTTGCAGTCATAAGTTGAGTCATAACACAATCATACTTGATTTTAAGACCATTTTTATGATGGTCATTAAACAAATTATGTGAACATAAATCCACATCCAGGTTATCCAATGGGTGTTTTTTGCCAGAAAGTGGCAAAAACTGTCGCAAATCACACTCATGTGAACATGGGATGCTGCAACCAGTCATAAATGCAAGCCAGTTGTCAAGTACCCAAAATATGATAATGTGACATAACTCTTTCCAAGGCTGTTGTAATTTTGAACAGTCTTTAAGCAACTGCTTGTAAGTTGAGGACTACCGGTAAAACATGTGAATTGTACCTCCTGTGGCCAATTTGACAGGATTTATTTCAAGTATTACTTCAGTTCAAGTTTGCCTTATGAAATGCAGACCTAGTAACATTACTATGCTGCTTGGTTGTATCCTCAAAGCTTTGTGTAAGTTGACCCTTTTATTTATTGGTCTGATCAACTGAAGAGACTTTTTTTCCTAGAATCTGACAAGTAAGGAAAGCAAAAATTAGTTTTAACAAAAGACAGTGGAGTAAAGCAGGATTTGTTGAGGATATACAACATTAAAGAAATTAACCTTGTCTATCCTGCTGGAATAATTTCTTGGTCTCCTGAAGGTTGAAACTCAAGTACCTACCAGGAAAGCAGAGCATCGACTCATAAATCTTTAGAAACTGTAGATTTTTATCTCTTCCTGTTATTAATTCAGGAAGAGATGATGTCAGTTTAAGAGCAAAATCAACTGTCAAAAGTTATATAGGGCTAAACTCTACTTTTAGAGGAATGTTTCTTCTTAATTTCTGTCAATATTGATATTATGGATCTGAATATGGTTGGATGCAGGAATCGGAATTAAAACATTCCCAACATATGGCTATTTGATCTGCCCTTGAACACAGTCTGCACAAGGAAGCCAAAATGTCATGAAATTAGGAAGTCGAGGTGGCTATTTGGATTGATTGATTAATAGCAAATTCTAAACACTTTATTTGTGTAGTCACTTTAGCCTACTTAATTGGATTGAGGGAATGGAAGATTAGATATTGGAGATTAGGGCTGCTTCACACATAAGCCAGTTAAGAAGTACACATAGACTCCCATGCTCAGTCTGTGCTTGTGTTCATTATGCTATATATGTACAGGTAGTCCTCAATTTATGCCCACAATTGGGACCAGAATTTCTATTACAAAGCAAGGCAGTTCAATGAATCGTACCCAATTTTACAATCTTTTTCATCATGGTTGCTAAATAAATCATTGCAGTTGCTAAATGAATCACGCAGTCATTAAATGAATCTGGCTTCCCCTATTGACTTTGCTTGTCGGAAGCCAGCTAGAAGGTCAAGAATGGCAATTGAATGACTTCAGGATGCTGCAACTGTTATAAATGCAAGCACACAAAATTTTGATCATCTGACTGCGGGGATGCTGCTGTAGCCAAAAGTGCAAAGATCAGATGTAAGTCACATTTTTCAGTGCTTTTGTAACTTTGAATGGTCACTAAATGAATGATTGTAGGTCAAGAATTAGCTGCAATAGGAAGATCTAGGAAACTCATCCTTATTAGCAAGAGCAATAGTACTCAGACTTATATACCATTTCACAGTGCTTTACAGCACTCCCTAAGTCAGTGATGGCGAACCTTTTAGAGACAGAGTGCCCAAAAACTGGCCCTGCCCCATCCCTGCCTTGCCCCCCATCCCCTGCCCCGCCTGCCCACAGGGCCACTCACCACCTCCAGGGCCCGCCGCAGATCACCCAGGCAGCCCAGCAGCGTCATGGCAGCCACACCCTCTGCCCGCGCCCTGCAGTATCAACTGTGCACAATGGGGTGTGAGGCCAGATTTTTGTCTATGCTGCCTGGCTGCCATGTTCTTGGCTGCGCTGCTCCGCGTGGGCCACGCTCAGGGGCGACTCTCCTTCAGGGGGGCTGCTGGAGAGGAGGGGGTCACGGGGGGAGGCGAGGCTGGGGCAACGGCATGTGTGTCCACAGAGAGGGCTCTGAGTGCCGCCTCTGGCACCCATGCCATAGGTTCGCCACCACTGCCCTAAGCAGTTTACAGAATCAACATATTGCCCCCAACAATTTGGATCCTCGTTTTACTAATCTCATAAGGATGGAAGACTGAGTCAACCTTGAGCTGGTATGGATCGAACTCCTGGCAGTGGGCAGCCTGCAATACTACATTCTAACCACTGCGCCACCATGGCTCCTACTAAGCTAATAAGTATTAATAAATAAATAATAATAATGAATAAGTATAATAAGGCTAATAAGTATTCCAGGAACTAAGCTCACTCACATTCAAGAAATCTAGAAATATATGATCAAACAACTGATAACTTTCTACATATGCATAGAGATGTTCCAGTTTCTGAAGCAGCACTTCAGAAGAACAGTAGTGATTTATGAAATCTCCAGTGTATTTAGGTAGCATTGCAGTTACTGGTTTGAAAGCTAGTATGTTAGCTTGATTTGAAACCTTAGATTCCCCAGTAATTTAAACTGAAATACCTGTAAGTCATAATCATATTTTAAATATATACACACAACAACAACAATTTCTGTAACAAATTAATACATGAATGACTGTCTAGTAAGAAGAAAAAACTTTTTTTTCCTCCTGCCTTTTGTTAAAATGTTTGCTTTGGCATAATAGTGTAAATAAAATCATGGGGCTACAGAAATATTTGGCTTTTTTTATTCCATCAGCAAGCCTAGGTATTCTACCAAAGCAAAATATATTATTTCTTAACAATGCTAAAAAACCTCAGAAGTAGATGAGCCAGTTTTACTGGCAAAAGATATTCAGAGTCATTTGTCAGAAAAGGTCCAATCCATTCCCATTGCTAAGACACACACTATTGAAGGAAGCAAGATTTTCAGTACAGTCATCATTCAGCACTTAACTGCTTTTGTCAGATTTGGTATTTGACACATTTTGAAGCAGAAAACTTGTCGCAGCATAGGTCTTTCTCCCGATAGTTGACATGCAAGGAAGAACTTGCTTATGTCAGCTACCTCGTCACTCGCTAGTTCTTCTGGCTGAAATAGTGGGTCCCATGGTAAGTCACATGGTTTTCTCGGTACTCGTTGGTTTTATTATTTCTCATGTCTTCCAGAATGAATTACTGATGGGTACCAAGGTACCACTGTAGCCCACTTTAGTTTCTGTTTTTTTCTGTGAAACAATATTATGAAAACAGATATCTGTTGCTGAAATGAAATTTCCTTTCTCCATTTCCCCTAGAACTGATGTGAGCCACTAGGTCTTCCACTGTTAAACCAGAATGTACTGTCCTCATATTTGATTATTATCACTGATTAACCAAGTTTTTAAAAGGCAAATTTTGAAGATCTGGATTGACTACTATTCTTGGAATCAATATAGTGCATTTCCTAAATGCTTTGGTAATACAGAATGCTAGACTAAATTATTTTGGCCTGATTCAATAGGCAATTCTTATATTCTCATGTTCTGCAAGGTTTGGGGTTTGCCAGAATTTCTATATTGATGTTTTGATGGTGGCTGAATAGCAAGGGATGCAACCTATTTCCATCCAGACCTTGCTAAATTTATTTTGATACTATTGTTTAATCAGATATTTTTCAGGGTTTTGCAACTAGCCCTAAAATTGTTGAAGCATGATATAAGCATCTTTTAAGTAAATATTAAATAATAGAGTATGACTCTTTTGGAGCAACATCTAGCAGATTGAATATACTATATTAATTAGTTTGGATTGGGATGTTTTTTATTTTCTGAGCTAGACTCAGGTATGCTAAACACTTTTTCTTCATTTGTAAATATTTGTGCAGGAAAGATTGGCATGAATTTTGGAAAAGGGTTGTTTTATTTTGGGGGAGCAAATTTTTGAATGCTTATTTGCAAAAGTGAGGAAAAAAACATTGATAGTAGTCTTGGTGCTGTGCTGTGCTGCCAATTGTCTATTAACATGTCTCCAAACTACGTGAGGGAAAGAAAGAACAG